ATATTACATCAATACTATTAGCTTCATCAACCAACATATTAAGTTAGTTTGATAGGATCCATTTTCCATGAACCCATGTTGATTGGCATTACACTCCTTTAATACTTTATTAATCAAATTCTATATCAGCTGCTCCATTATCATGCCTTGAATCAATGTCAGATTGACAGGTGTATAATTACTGGGTCATACTGTTTACCCCTTTTACATATTGGTACAACAGTTGCTTTCTTCCAGTCTTGGAACTTTCCTGATTTTCCAAGACTTATTGAAAATCAACATTAACTCAGCTAACCTTTTACTACTCTTATATTCAAGTTACCCAGACCTGCTGGTTTAAAAACATCTAACTTCAGTAGCTGCTGTTAAACATCCTCCTAAGAGACCAGTGGAATGGAAAGACTGTTATCATGTGATATGACTTCATCATCTGTTTCTTTCCTAAATGTGGAACAGAATTATTTATTGAACTTTTCTGCCTTTTCTTCATTATTATTGATCACTTGCATTTCCATTTAGTAATGGACCATACCATTGTTAGTATTCTTTTTTGTTCATAATACTTAAAAATGCCTTCTTATTGTCCTTATTTCAGCTGGTCAGAGAATTCTCCTTGTGTGCCTTTGTTTCCCTTTTCAGTTTTCTTCCATTCCCAGCTTTTTATTTGTATTAATTACTAGCAGCTTCAAAGTTCATTTTAAACCTACTTCCAACCAATTTAAACTAAACCAAATTAGCCATTCTCAAACCAAAAAAGAGTATCCATACAAGGGTTTGCATTGGTTTAGTAAAGAAGTCCAAGTTTATATGTGGACAAGACCTAGGAGACCATAGTCAGACTTGGAGGCAGATATTAATGTCATCATTTTCCTTCCTGCTGCTGAAATTTTACCCAAGCCTTCATAGTTCCCTTTCCCCTCTTCATATGCAGAACTGCACACATTTAGAACAGCTATATACTGCATATACTCAGGATTCCCACATTCATTTAAGGATTCAGACTAATCAGATTATTTTCCCTTAGTTTTTAATACCCTCCTAGGGCTCGCTCCAGCCAACCTCACAGGCATTGTGGTCCCTACTCCCCTCTCCACAAGGGAATGTCTACACTAGAAGTGGGGAACAATTTTTGGGTTGGGGGCCAATGACCCACAGAAAAATCAGTCAGGGGCCACAAACAAGTGAGAAGGGGAAAAAAGCCACACCCTCACTGACACGGTCTTGATTGAGAAGGAGAAAGACACTCTCCATATTCCTCTTGCACACCAGAGTGTAGGGCAGGGGTGGGCAATAATTTTTGCCTAGGGGCCGGCCACTTCAAAAATTTTCGAAGTAACCCCAGGCCACCCCGAAAGGGGAGGGGCCTAAACAGGAAGGGACAGGGCCTAAATGGGAAGGCACGGGACTACACCACCCCCAGACCATGATTCGTCTAGGGATAGGGGAGTCTGTTTGCCCCCCATTCTCACTACGCACCCATGCTCTGGAAGAGGCTTGGCATACTCCCCCAACCCCAGGCCAATCAGGGCCTGGGGGTAGGGGAGCACGGGAAGCCTCCTCCTGCCCTGCCAGGAGCACGTGGCACTTTAAAGTGCCGTGGGCTCTTTGCAGGGCCGGGGCAGAGCGAAGGAAGCTTTATGCAGCTCCCCCACCCCCAGGGCCTGATTGGCCTGGAGGTGGGGGAGTGCACGAAGCCTCAACTTCCCCCCCTCCTCCCCACCCTGCAAACAGCACATGATACTTCAAAGCGCCACGTGCTCCTGGCAGGGCAGGAAGAGGCTTTGCGTGCTCCCCAGGCCAATTGCGTGCTGGCAGGGCGGGGGCAGAGCAGAGAAGGCTTCGGGCGCTCCCCCACCCCCAGGCTCTAATTGGCCGGGGGGGGGGGGGGGGGGGGGGGGCGGGCGGGCTGGATCCAGCCCACAGAGGCCCTTTTGCCCACCCCTGGTTTAGGGGGACCCAGCGCAGGCTCCCCAATGCTGGGGGAGGGGGCATGAGTCTCAGGGGCTGGATCCAGACAAGTCAGGAGCCACATCCAGCCTCCGGGCCTGAGGTTCCCCACCTCTAGCCTACACTATCAGTGTATGTATCAACATTATATGTAAAGTTACAAATGTAAGCTGAAATCATTATGGGAGCGTGTTTACCAGACAAGTCTGGGGAGTGGGTAAACATATTTTTCAAAGACTAATGAGTCTCAGGGGCTGGATCCAGACAAGTCAGGAGCCACATCCAGCCTCCGGGCCTGAGGTTCCCCACCTCTAGCCTACACTATCAGTGTATGTATCAACATTATATGTAAAGTTACAAATGTAAGCTGAAATCATTATGGGAGCGTGTTTACCAGACAAGTCTGGGGAGTGGGTAAACATATTTTTCAAAGACTAAGGACGAGCTGATGCCCCTAGCCAAGTGTCATCAAATCTGATGGGCAATCTCCTGTCAAGTGGCAATTCTTTGGCAAGGGAGGGGGACAGGAACAAACAGATTTGCATCTTAGCAAACAGCAGCATGACCACCTTTCACCATCAGATTCCTTGACTCTATCCTCACAAGTGACATCTAGGGGTAACCCTAAGGAAAATGCTTTTCAAAGTGTAACTGAACTACAAAAGTAAGGGCCAAAAACATCCCAAGTTCTCTCTTCTGATCCATCACTCTTTCTGACCTAAGCACATTAAAAAGCAGCCTTTGGATTTTCAGAGAGATCCTGTCCTGATAGTTCAGTGTTGGGCAACCTGCAGCCTACCAGGGTTCTAAGTGTGGCCTGCGAAACATTTTGTTTACCGTTGCGGGGTTGTGAGATTCCACTGGCTTCCTCCAGCCACATTGTTTTTCCCCTACTGATATTACTGAAGTGACACATACATAAAGCAAGGGCACGTGAAGTAACGTATGCGACTGCACACAACATTGCCAGCGCCATGTACTCCCTCTGCATCCAATCAAAGTGCTGCTACGATGCAATCGTATTTTAATTTTTATATATTTGTATTGTGTTTTAAACATTTTTGTAAGCCTCCTAGAATATTTTAAATAGTGAGTTGGGGCAAAAAGATTTTAAATAAATAAATGTGGTAAGAATTTTTATCTTGATCCAAGCCTTGTTTGTTAAGTTTAGTAAAGGGAAGTATTTTATCTTTTTTCCCCTCTCATAACCATTTCTGACTCAAATGTTTTATACTTGTATTAACTTAAAACCTAATTTCTTTTAAACTTGATTTATTCTTTATTCAAAACAAACCCATGTTTTAGGTGAGCGGGTAACACCATTTATGGTATATTGATCCCCATAGACTAGAGGGGCAATGCACCTAATATATCTGAATTGCCCAGGAGAGGGCTGGACAATGCAGAACACATGGGGGAAAAAAGGGATTGAGAGTGTGTTGGGGTCACCATGCAAGTGGTAACCAAGGCTGGTAGAAACCAAAGTGTGATTGACTGGCAGGCTACATCTATACACAAACATGCAGAGTGTTATCTGTATGCAGGAAGGCTGTTTATCAATGGCCCAGTGTGTGAGAGCAACAGCAATGCAGCTTTGCAAAGCACCCAAGTTCACAGGGCCCCTCACTGCTCTGGATTGCATTCCAGAATGTCATAGCAGGCAATCCACCTCCCCAGATGTCAGAAGCTAGATACATTGTTCTGTTGACCTAGGTGCATCTCCATCAAGGGTTAGGTCGGCTTAACTATGGCGCTCAAGGGTGTAGTTAGGTTGATCTAAATTTGACAGGTAGACTAAGACTATCTAACAAGGCACTTACGTTATACTCATCACTGTGATATTCTTTACACAGTTGGTGCAAGAGCCTTCTTCTTTGCCACACCTGCCATTATTACATGTTACAGTACCTCACTGACTGTCTAACTCATTCCAAATCCCATCTGAAATTAGTCTGATCTCCCTTCTCTCCCCGACTATATTTTACCTAAAAAGGGAGATATAAAAACTCATGAATTGTCTGGGGGCCTGGCCTGAATGTCTCTTCCATTTAGATCTGCATTTGGTCATTATAGTGTATTGTACCTCTTATATCAGTTCCTACTAAAGCACATAGAGGCCCAGAATCTATGGTTAGCAGTAACAGCATAGTGTATGTCCCCTGCCTACTAGTCCAGACAAACTGGAAAAAACACACGTCAGCCAAATAAGGTGACTCCCTCCCTAGTCAGCATGAAGGTAGACCAAGGTTTCATATGATGGGAAGGGAATCACTTAGGGTGCATCTACACCGCATTGTAACTCAAAATAAGATGCTCAAATTGCATATCTTATTTCAATGCTATTTCAAAAAAGCTTATTTCATCATTTGGCGTTTGGCTCCACACTGCCAAATTTCAAAATAAAGCGCTATTCCAAAACATTCCTTACTCCTCGTAGAATGAGGATTACAGTGATGTCGGAATAGAGAGCCCAAAATAATGGACTTGCTGTTGAGACACGGGATAGCTATTTCGGGATACGCTGGTATCCCGAAATAACGTTGCAGTGTAGACGTACCCTTACAGGGCTTCAGCCTCACCAGCTGGAAAAAGAGAAACAATGCATTTTTCTAACCCATAGCTGGGCAGGAACAGGGCACAGGCTGGGGAGGGGAAAAGGGGACCTTGATGCAGACACGTACATGCAAACCCCCATGGGATGGGCAAAGTACAGGCAAGGGGGATCCATGACACACACACATCCCTCCCCATAGGGGGCGCACAGGGGACAGGGTGCATACTGCCATCCCCAGAAAGGATTACAGGGATGGCTGGGGCACACTCCCATCCCCATGTGGGGACTAGACAGTGGGGCAGGGAGCACACGCCCCTCCCCATGGAGAGTCATGTAGGGGCACACGCCCCTCCTCACAGGGCGGGGGCAGAGTCCACACACCCCTCCCCCATGGGGGGGTCAGTCAGTGGGGCAGGACGCACAAGCCCCTCCCGGGGTGCAGGGCACAAACCCCACCCCCGCCACCTCCGTGCGAGGAGACGGCTCCGGCCCCGTTTACCTGGCTGGGCTGCTCTGCCTGCTCTGAAGAGGCCATGTTTCCAGACCCAGCTAATCCATTCCCGCTCCTAGGGATGGAACTATCTCAGCCCCGAGCTCAGGCAGAAGCAGTCCCTTTCCGATAAACCGATCCTTGGCAGCAGGGGGACCTGCTTCTGACCCCCACCTGCCATGAATCTGGCCGGTCTCTGAGCTCCATTGCAAAGCACGGGGCGATCCTGGGCCGTTTCAGCTGTGATGTTATTTTAATGTATTTGGTTATTAGCCCTGAGGTTATTTTTTGGTCACAGCATAATTAAAAGTGAGTGGGTTTTTGCACCCACTGTTGCAAACAGTATTATTTATTTATAGTTCATGGCTATATATATACAGCTTGTTCTATATTTAATATATTATCTTATTAACAGTGTGTTTAAAATAACTTATACAATGACTTATACATCTGTAAGGCTCAGCAAACAGGATTAAAAGCCCATTTATTGCTATAACTATCAATATTAATAATAAGTGGAAATTGTACAGCAACAAATCCTGCTTAGTCTAGTTAGCTGACTTCAATGGGACTGTTTTCATGAGTAAAACAATAAGATTGCCAATGTGAGTGGTCCTGTAGGATCAGGTATTTAATTAGACTAGATAAAAGGAATTTAAAAATCCAGTTCTGCACCAGCTAAGTGAATGACATTGGAGCTGTACTGCCTTTTAATATATTATTTCATTGTTTTGATTCACACACGCACAATTATTTATTATTCATTAAGTTATTTTAATAGCTCTCAAAAGTGTGCTAGGTGAGAAACAGGTTAAATAATGGGTCAGAATTCATGCAAACTTTTACATAAGTGAATAACTGTATTTTTTACTTCAATGGAACTACTCATGTGAGGAAAGTTAGGACCTGGTCCTTCCTGCACAGAGCTCCTTCACTGAACTGGGGCTATATATACTGGTCGTGGACTCATATGTTCGCATAAGCAGACTCAGAGCTATACATGTATTTTATCTTTATGTATATTATATTTTAGAGTTCATAAACTTCTTTATATCTGTGTCTATTGAATGTACATAAATATACATATGCATAAACAATGCGAAGTCAGATGCATGTCGAAGTGGGTCTTTGCCCACGAAAGCTTATGCTCCAATAAATCTGTCAGTGTATAAGGTGCCATAGGACTTCACGTTCTTTATGCAGATTCAGACTAACACAGCTGCCCCTCTGATACTTGATCTATATGCATGTAACTGTTTAATAATTTAATTATATTTTAATGGTACCACACTTTTTATTTATTTACACTGTTTTCAGTTCTCACCATTTTTGTGAATCTCTTGCTAGTTTGGATTTTTCTTTGAGCCTGAGCTCCTGGAGTAAAATGATTACAAGAGAATATCAACTTTCACTTAAAAAAATTTTTTACGAGCTATTATGGTTGTGGAGAAAAGCTTGAAAATGTAACTGAGCATACTCTATGGGCTCAGAAACCAGAAAGCAAAGAACAAGTCCCAAATTTAATCTTAACATTTTAAAGTGAATGCACATGATTTGAAGGCACGATTCGTGATTTTGAACTACTGGTTGTTAATCTATATTTATATATTAAGATTAGGTTGTGTGTTTGCATATGTTTTATTGGCAACATCCTATGCTGCGTACTTTCCCCGCTGTGTTTTATTTTGTATGCCCTCTCGTCTTAATTTTTAACCTTTACAACTGAAAATCGCCCCGAAACTATGGCTAGCAGGACAAAAACGTTCTCTTTAACACGGCCTGATGGGAGTTGTAGGCGGTCGGGTGGTAAAGGACTAAAACTCCCACCATGCACGGGGAGGGGGAGGGCGCGGCTACGTTAGGCCGGAGGTGTGCTGCCGGGCTAATATGTAACAAGAACTACGTGTCCCGGCGTGCATCGGGGTTGAGTCTGTAGAAGAGCCGAGTTCAGGGAGCAGGACTACAAGGTCCATCATGCACCGCACGGGGGCTCGTCTGTGGGCCAAAGTGCGAGGGGAGCGACTTGCTGTTGCTCCTCGGGGCAATGGCGGGAGAGGCTCTCGAGAACGGGATGAGGATCTCTCCGCGGAAGCCGTGCCTGATCCGGCGCAACGGCCAGCAGCAGCAACATGGGGTGGCGGCCTCCTGCCTACGGGAGCTGCGGAGCAAGGGTGAGGGGATCCTTTGGGGGAAGGGGAACTAGGCGATGGGCGACGAGGAGGGGCAGCCTGTGGGAGCGGGAGTTGTGGGGGGAGCAGAAAATGGGGGCGGGGAGGGGGCTTGAATGGGGTGCACTGGGGATTTTGGTATCCCCTTCGTTGCAGTCTCCTTCCCCCATCATGCTGTTCCCCACCTGCATTACCCCAGCAAGCTCTTCCTGTTGTGGGGAAGCCCCCTCTTTTCACAGCGGGACCGCCCCATATTGGCCTCGCTGCGTGGAATACAGCATAGGGTGTGAGGGAGGTGCCATGTGACTGGGTTGGTGTAGAGCAGGGCCTCTGAACTTTCCCAGAATTTTTAACCTCTTTTGGGAGTCTTTGTCTCATGTACTCCCCAAGTTTCCTTTCACTACAACAGCTACTTACAAAATCAGACATAAAAATACAAAAGTGCCTCAGCTGCGCTGTCCCTGAAAATTGGCATAATTATAAAATAAATCAGTTGGAGCATAAACAATGTACTTACATTTCAGTGCATAGTATATAGATCAGTATAAAGAAGTCCTTGTCTATATGAAATGTTGGTGTGGTGCTTTAAAGGTAAGCAAAAATATCTAGATTAATTGATGCAGGAGTAAGGTAAAGATTGTGGACTGCTGGGAAACTGTCCGTTTTATTTTGGTGCTGAAATCAGTACTGTGCAATGCTGGCTCAATCTGCTTCCTATTTAGGGGTCTCTCCACAACTGGTGCTGGGCAGCCATAGAGCCATGTGCACAAACAAAATTGGTATCTGCATCTGCAAAAAATGATCTGTGGATATTCACATCCAGATCTGTGGATGCAGATACCCATGGATATAAAGTAGGCATCTGTGGATTTGCAGGACTTACTGCATCTTGTATTAAATATGTGAAGGTATTACATATGTGAAGGTCTGCTCTTGAGAACATGGCTTTAAGATTATGAATCTTAAGTAATGTTGAATCCAGACTTTGCTCATGAAATGTGATCCCTGGCAATAATAGGTTCCTGACTTAGTGATGTCTGCATAGAGCCCCACTGCTGGTTTCTTTATGTTCTAGGATGCTGGCAGAGTTAAATCTCCCACATGCCAAGAGGCATTGAGCTATCACGTCTCACGTAAATCATTGAAGATGCTTCTCAGATACAGCTCATGTCATGTTAAAGGTTAAGCTTTGTAATTGCATTAAAGAATTTTAAGCTCCATTAGAGATAAAAATTACTTTGGCTAATTCTACACTATTCACTTCAGAAAATACAGGCTGTCTGTACTTGTCCTATGCTCTTCTTTAAAACGACTATGTAGGTTTGTCTTGCAAGTAAATAGATAAGTGTTCTAATCTCTTGAGTCTCCTTGCCCCTTTGGATTCTCCTCAATTGCCAAGGTGCTGAAAGGCACTACAGTCACTTTGTGTGTGCTGGACAAGCCCTAATATCTAGTGCAGCTGGAAAGACATTCTTGTAATACTAGCCAATTAGCCCATCGAAAGATGGGATTTTCAGGTCTCTCCTCCACCTTGGTCTTCTCTCCTGAGCCTCGGTCTTCTCTCTCTCAGCTCTCCTTCACCTCCTGCCTCTCTCTCTCTGTGTCTCTATTCTCCTCCCCCTCCTGCCTCTCACTCAGGAGACCATGGAGCCCAAACGGTTGCTTGCGCCACTTGCTCCCACACGGCGGCCCAGCTGAGTGGTGCAGAAGTCAGTTGAGCGCCACAGCGGGAGATGAAGGGGGGCAGGGAGGTGATGTTCACAGCCAGAGGGCGGGGCCTGGAGCCACTGTCACGCCACATGTCACCGCCCCGCCCCCCCCTTTGCCTCCCGCCCTGGCACTCGAAAGCAAAACCAGACGTTGCAGCTCATAGCCCATATTTTTCTTGAGCTGAAGGGCCCTGGTTCACTGGAAAACATTGAAAAAGTTAAACCTGTAGGTCTCACTGCTGTAAATAGTGCTGATTATCAGTGCTACTCTACTGTTTGCAGTATTATTGTAGTTACAATGGGTTACCGATGCCAACAAAGCTCTTACCTCCTTTAGAACCATATAGGTCTCTTGGTGGTTGCCTCTTCTGCCTAAAACATGACATTATATATATAGTAGCCCAGTGTCTGAGAGTTTGTAATGCTGAAATGCTGGCTGTTCCCTCTGGGCGGCCCGTGCTGCTTGGGGAGTGCGGGGCCCAAATGGCCGCTTGCGCCTCTTGCTCCCCTGCGGCGGCCCAGCTGAGCAGCGCAGAAGTCAGCCAAGCACCACGGCGAGAGGCGACGGATGTGTCGCAGGCAACTGTGCCGTCCAGAGGGAACAGCCAGGGAGGCAAGAGTGCTGCCCAGAGGGAACAGTCAGCATTTCAGCGTTACAGAGTCACAGACATATATATTTCTACTAGGGATGTTAGATCAAGGATGTTAAGAGGAGTAACTGACTAATCATGTAGTTGATACAAATTGTATCGACTACACAATTAGTTGATAAGGGAGGGTGCTCTGTCCTGGCTTGTGCTGGTCCAGGAGCTATCCCCGCTGTGGCTCTACCCTTTAAATGTAGTAGGAGCCAGGCATTCATGCAGCCCAGTTCCTACTACATTTAAACTGCAGAGGTGCAGTGGGGGGTAGGTCCCGGACTGGTGTGAGCTGGGCCTGAGCCCGACATGCTCAGTTCTGGCTGGTGACTGGTCCAGGAACCTCTGCCTGCAGCCAGCCCGTGCTGCATCGCTGCAGTCTCCCTTCCTCTTCCCCCTTTTCCCCCCTGGGAGGAACTGGCTTTTAAGCTGGCTCCCCCCAGCACTGGTTCCTATCCCACCCCCTGCTGTCTCTGATACAGGGCTGCCTCCCCCGCCTACTTGCTGCCTGTGATACTCACTTTCCCCCCTCCCTGCTGCCTCTGCCCCTGCCTAGCGGCTCTTAATGCATTTAAAAAGTGGAAGTGCAGTGTGAGCAAGGTGGGACAGCTGATTCCTGGCTTGTACCTAGTCCCCTGCTACAACTTTGCCTTTTAAATGTATTAAGAGCCTGGCAGCTCTTAGCCCTGCCATGGCTCTGCCTTTTAAATGTATTATCCTCAGCCTGGAAACTAACCCTTCAGCGGCTCTGCAGTTTTCCTCCTTTGACTAATTGAGTAGTCAATGGAAATTTCATTCCTGCAATTTAACATCCCTAGTCTGTCTGTTTGATACTGCCTTTATGTTCCAGACCAGGAGGATAAAGGATTAAAATTGAGGGCTATCCTGGTGTCAAGCTGGGGAGATTTGGAAACAATATAGTGACAATATAGTTTCTAGGCTGCTTGGCTACATTTGGCATTTTAAAGGAGGATGAATACCAAGGAAAAAGTTGTTTGAGCTTGTATCAGGAACAGTATTAAAAATCTGGATCAGTGGAGACAAATGAGTAAATATAAACCAGAGAAGAATTGATGTGCATGTGGACAGGGGCCAGTCACTGATCTATCTTAGAGGTAGCCCCAAGGGAAATTTGTGTCTGTCGTATGTGCATAAAGCACAGTGTTTTTGCCTTGCCAAACTTCCTTTTACCTCATGAACACTTTTATCTTCTGCAGCCTGTGACATTCTGGACATTGGAAAGGACTTGGAACCCATCACCTTAGTTCTGGCAGAAGATGGCACCATTGTGAATGATGAAGATTATTTCCTGTGTTTACCACCCAACACCAAGTTTGTGGCACTAGCCAGGAATGAAAAGTGGACCAGCAGCTGCATAGGTACAGGGTTGGAGGGGAACTTAAGTCTTAACTTTCCAGACACCAAGACCTTCACTGCAGATAAACTGATGACTCTGCTGGAGGCCTAGATTGAGTTACCACCTCTGCATTCCCTCTCTTCAGGCTTGAGAGGAAGAAGTGTTATGGACTCAGGATGTAAGAGACTAATCGAATACTCGATAAGTATATGCTTATCAGGTAGTCGAGTAGGACTCAACTAGTTGCCCCCCCCTTGCTGCCTCTATCAGAGAAAGGCAACAAGGGGTAGGGAGCAGGAGCTGGCTTTTAAGCCAGTACCCCCTAGCACTGTCTCCACAGGAGGGAGAAAATACAAGTGCAGTGTTTCCAACTCTGAAATAAGAAAACCCCAATAGCTCAATGCATAATTTACTGTTGAATTTACCTCATCTATCTCCTGTTCAGCAGTTTTGTTCATATATACCCTCAGTAAGGGATGTTTGGATTTTGTTGTCCAGATCTTTGCAACTATGAGTTTTTCCACTTATGACTGTGGTTGTTTCTCATGTCAGATGGGGGCCCAGCCTGGCTTTCAGGGGAGTCCACAGATGAAGTAGACAGTGGTGGAGAGAAGTGGAAGCATCTGGCAAGACAGTTGAAGGATGACTTTTCCAGCGTCATTTTGATGTCTGAGGCAGACCTTCAGGTATAATGAGAACCCACATGCCACACTTTTCTCCTTTCTTCAGTTTCCTCACTAGAATGGAGAGGCTGAAATCTTAGGAAAGGAAAATGCATCACTTGGTCCAAATTCAAATACTGTCAATTTGGCTCTGGTGAAGGAGTGACATTCTGTTCTTGGGGAAATGCTCTCCCAATAGAATGAATAGGCTTTTGAAAATCATGCTGTCTGAATCATCCTTTTACATACACAACACCTTGTCTGTTCTCCATTTTCTCATTCACTTGATTCAGCATCCCTCCTGCTCTCCTCTCCATCTTGACTCTTATCTTTTCTATCCTCTCTCCCATATTGCTGATAGATTTTCCCCCTCCCCTTTTTTTTGTTTCTCAGAAAGGGTACGTCTACACTTGCACCCTCTTTCGAGAAAGGGATGCAAATGAAGACATTCGAAATTGCAAATGAAGCTGGGATTTAAATATCATGCACTTCATTTGCATAATCACGTTATGGTGCTATTTCTAAATACAAAACACAGTGTAGATGTTATTTCGGGGAAACACTCTTCTTCTGAAATAAGTGTTATTCCTCATAAAATGAGGTTTAAGGGTTATTTTGGAATAAGGGTGTTCTCCGAAATAACTTCATCTACACCGCGTTTTATATTTTGAAATAGTGCCATAAACGCGATTATGCAAATGAAGTGCGGGATATTTAAATCCTGGCTTCATTTGCAATTTCGAATGGCTTCATTTGCATCTCTCTCAAAAGAGGGTGCAAGTGTAGACATACCCAAAGAGACTAATTCATCTCTTGCCCTACATGTTTTTCATTCTTCACTAAACTCTTAGTTCTTTCCTATAGGATTTGCATCCTGGCCTACAGCTACCCCAGTCCATTTTCATTGTCTTGCACTTTGATCTTTGTAGGGGTTTAAAAGACTTGAGTGTTGGTTCCAAGAAAATGATCAGCTACACGCCAGACCACTTCTTGCCCCTTAATATCTGTTGATAAGATTTGGTTTTACTGTTGACTGACTGCTGCTCATATTACTTGTTCAGAAATCTGGATCAAATATTACTTTCCAAAAGCCAGTCCCTAGTGGTGATGATATGTTTTGCTCAAACTAACCAGTGTGACTTTCACTGTAAAGCTGTAAGAATTTCTTGGTGTTGTTCCAAAAGTAAATGGCAATTTCATACCTTTCTGAGGGTCCTTTGACTGCAGATAAAGAACTGTGGCTTGTGGGAGTGTCAACTGGGACCACATATAACCCAGCTGATTTGATTTGGAAATAGCTAATAAAACTTGCTGGATCCTTGCAAAGTGGAGACTTTTTCCATGTGTGTGACTTGGGAGGTATGCCAACTTTACAGCTCTGTTATAGACAGTTGGATAAAATAATCAAAATGAGGCTTGCCTAAATCCATTCCATGTAGCAGTACTCCACTGTTTCATTTAGGTGCTCGTTGATGTGCCCTGTTCAGATTTGGCCCAGGAACTTTCTCAAAATCAACTAAAAACTCAGATGTTACAGAACTCCCTGCAGCAGGTGCTGGACAGACGAGAGGAAGAACGCCAGTCCAAACAGCTTCTGGAACTCTACCTGGAGGCCTTGAAGAATGAAGACAGCATCTTAAGCAAGGTATCAGGTAAGGAATATGAGAAACTTTCCAGGGGCATCTTAACGGGGAGGGGAAATGAGAGCTGCACTAGCTGTTGTTGCTGTGAAGGAGCTTGTGATGCTGCAGTAGTAGGTGCATATTGATCAAACTGCATTCCCAGCCCTCCACTTGGGTTGATGCTGCTGGCTCATGTTAAACGCTTCTCCCTGCTACTTTTCAGAACCTGAAGCTGCACATGGGGAAGAGGGGGATGTAGTGGATGCTAAAAGCAGTGCTGCAGGTCCCTCCACCAAAAGAACACTCAGTGATGAGATCCTTGCTGCACTGAAAAAGAAGCCTGCCCCAGAACTCAGCTTAAGCAGTCAGGCTCTAGAGGTTGGTAACTCTGGTTTTTGCCCTGTCATAGGCAGGCTAACTGGTATCTTCCTGAGGAGAGAGATGAGATGTGTGGAAAACTGCATTTCACCTCTGGGGACTCAAGTGTTAGTTTAGGTTAAGACACAAAGATTTGTTTTTATCTGCCCCTCAGTACATTGTGGTGGTCTTTTGTTCAAAATCTTAACACTGGAATCTTGCCACTGCATATGCTGCCTCCATGCCTGGAGGTCCCCTGTGGTGTCACCTTGTCTTTTTCCCAAGCAGTACAATTATTCAGACTTCCTCCTGAAAGACACTATAGTGGCAACTTATGAGCTCTGTCAGCTATTTGTAGGAAATGGCCACCCAGAGTGCAAACTAAGACTATTTTATGAGCTAGCTTTTTTAATTGAAATCTGCATTGTTGTAACTCTTTCATATTACCAGGCCAGCATAAAGGTTTTAGTGAAACAAAATATAAATAAGGGTCTACATTGGAAAGGTGAAGATTTGTAGATTACCTGTTGCCTCTCATTCTTGAAGAGTTTTCTTCCTCTTTGCAAGTACCTGCGAGTTCCTTGTTTCCTTCTTTCTATGGTCAAAAGGGAGTGAAAATGTATTGACTTTGACTGGAGTTAAGTTATTCAGACACCTGCTAGATATTTCCAGAGCCTAAATTCCAGACACCAGGTAGAATTAAAAACAAAACAAACTAAGCTTGAAAGGTAGAAATTGCTATGTCACGGCATTCTCAAGCTCAAGATTAAATTTGCTGGAGAACCCAGTGAGTTTATGATCTTGATTAAATGTACTAGATCACTGCTTGTGTTTCAGTTCTCTCATGGATCCACCTATTTTTACTATTTGTAGGTTCAGTTCAGGAGTTTCAGTAGAGGAAATCCTGGCTGTGGTAAAAGACAAGACGCAGGGCTCTGAAGATCAATGTGTCTAACTTTTTCTTTCACAGCGTGTTTTCAAGGAAGATACAGAAGCCTTGGCTCAGGCATTGAGGTGGGATAAGCAGGAGACTCAAGCTCTCCAGCAGGCCTGTGATCAGGAGCTCTCAAGACGCCTACAGCAAGTACAGACTCTAAACTCCCTGAGAAGTGTATCAAAGAGCAAGAAAGGGATGCCCTTGGAAAGTTGCTTGAGTTCAAAACGCAAGAAGTAAAAGACTTTGCAGCACTGTTCCTAAAGATGCTTGAAATGTCAAGGAAACACAGGTCTCTTGTGTGTTAGAGCCAACACAAGAAAGTGGTGTGTTAAATTCCCCAAGCATCACAGTTTGCTGGTCATGCTATGCCCTTTCTCTACAGAACTAAAAACTGTGCTGGTCTCAACACAAAGGCAAACAGAGGTTTAATCCCGCTCACGTAACCAAAGGTGCTATTTTTTTATAGTAGTGGTTCTTGTCAAATAACTTCTCTGCCTTAGAGAGATGTGTTTTGAATGCAGGAGTGGGAGCCAGATGCGCTGGAGTTCTAATCCTGACTAACCCCGTCTGTGGCCTCAGGCATCTCACTTACCGTGTCATTTCCCATCTGTTTTTCATATGTGGGAAGTTGCCTACTCATAGGGGGTATCGTGAGGCTAAGCCTTGGTGCACAAAGTTTACTAGTGTAGCAATATTGGGTGCATGTATGTGGGAAGTCACACCCCAAACCAATATGGTTGTGCAAAGGGTTTAGTGCCACTGTGTTTCTACTGGCAAAATAACTTTTACTGGTTTGGTATTGCTTACTCCATTCAGGAAACTGATTTAAGCAAGCAAACTTTTGCTAGTATAAGCTACATCTCCACTTGGGGATATTTGTGGGTTACTTCTGTTCATATACTGGCAAATGCTTTAAGGTATAAACAAGACCCAAGACGATGATTAGAAGGCACTTTGAAGACTGTGTGAGCTTGAGGCTTTCCATACCAAATTATGAGGCTGAACAGGAGAGTGCAGACCAAGTACGTTCTTTTCAGATTAATGTGGAGTGCAATAATGAGATGCAGTGTTCTTGGTGCCTGTTCCTGGGGAGGTTTATTACAGTTTGGCATAGTCAGACTGTCAGTGTGCAGATTTTTTTTCAGTTACCACTCTGAGGCATTGACTGAGAACCTGTTTAGGATCCAGGGACTTGAATTCAAATCCCAATTCTCATAATTTCTTGCTATATAACTCTGACCAAATCACATTTTAACCATTGTGCCATCATTTCCATATGCTACTACCTGTTCCTGCAGGAAGAGTGAGAATTGATATTTGTAAAGCTTGCTGAAAAGTAAAATGCTTGTTTTTTATGGGCTCCAAGGAGCAAATATAATGTTTGGGCCTTGCTATATTCCTATTATTTTTATACAATATCTTGGTCTTATTAATGACTGGCCTATTTTTAAATATTTTTAAACACTTTTACATAGAGAATTAATATTAAAAGCTTATTGTACTAGTAGGCTGATTATTGTGATGCTCACATACACTGCCTGGCTTGTTTGTGCATCTCCAAAAACATGACTGTCAAATTGGAAGCACCCTTCTATCACCCAAGCACTAATGGGATTTGCAGTCTCAGATTTTTGTTTTAAATTGTACTGTTTGTGATATTTAACCTTCCAAATATGTCAGTTAGCTTTGACCTACATTGATGTTAGTGCATTAGCACATACATTCTCTGTTGTAGTGATAATTCTGTCCTAGGACAACAAATGATAAAAATGCTGAAGCATTTAAAAGGGAGGCAGTGAATTTTTAATATACACAATTATACAGTAGTTCTAGCACTGCAGAACCCATTAATCTAACATTAGGATAAGCAGTATAGTAGATAAGTCACTTAATGTATAGCAAAGCTGAATATTCAGATATGCCCCTTGTGAATAGGTATTGCCAAGTAGCTTTTAATGAATGTGCTTGAACTACAGCACTACTTTAGTTACTTATAATGCACATCATAACCCTTAACCAGTTCTAGTGCCTCTGATGTAACTTGAGCAAAAACCTGCTTTTTTACAGGAAAATTAGGTATGAGTTAAGTGTGTCACGTGCATCTTTCTAACAAAGATATTACACAGGTTTAAACATGGGATCCTGATTACTAAGAACCTATGAAGGCAGGGCTACTCAACTTTGGAAGCCCCGGGTGCCACAATGATACTCACAGCACATGCTGAGGACTGCAACTTAAGTGTGGTTGCATATACATGCAAATATACAGTAAAACTCCAATAGTCCGGCATCCGATAGTCCAGCACTCCTGATAGTCTTGCATCAAAATGGCAAGAGCCTAGTGAGTGAGCTTCAGCAAAAAATGAGTCACAAGGTAACAGTGGCAGCAGCTGAACTGAGCAAAAAGGGTAAAAAAGGCTTAAAAAAACTAAAATATTACAGTATACTGTATACAGTATGTATAATAAAAAGGGTTAAGAACACTTTATATACAGTATATAATGTATACAGTGAATATATACCTCCTGATAGTCTGGCATATCTGATAATCCGGCACCACCTAGGTCCCATAGGTTCTAGATTATCGGAAGTCTACTGTATATGCAAATAGCCTCTTTCACACTGACAGGCATGAATATAAAGATTAAGCCTTAAGCTGCGGCACCAGACCCAAAAGGGGCCAGTGTGAGCCAGTCAGCACCTCTTAGGCTCTGCCCACGAGGCTAATCAGCCAGCATTTCCCACAATGCCCTGGCACTGCCAACACCTCCTCCCTGGGGGCTAGAAACACCGATACCCTGTACCCATCTGTGCCAGCCAGCCCGGCCGCTTGCGTCTTTCAGTGTTCACCCCGCCTGGGATACCCCTCGCCGTTGTGGAGCATGTTCCCAGTAGAGGCCATGTTCAAAGGATCCCACCCACAGGCCACATGTTGAGTCCCACGTAAACTCAAACCACGCCATGGGCCACATGTGGCCCGCGGACCATGTATTGCGTAGCCCTGTACAAAGATGTTGTCTTATTTCTATGAAATAAAAGCTTACTCTTGGCCTGAACTTCCCCTTTCTTCTAAAATGTGTCCCCCTGAGTTTGACAGGGAAAAAACTGTTTTATCACAATACTTATCTAAATTATCACATTATAAGCAATTATCTTGCTACAGTAGATGGAGTTTTTCTTCTGTTATACGCTGCCATAGTAGCTGTACTGATTGTTCATTCAGGATAGAACAATAGGCATCTGAAATGCTACTCGTGCACAGCCAGGCCTTATTCAACTGTGTGAAGATAATTATCCTTGACTACAAATTCAGCAATAAACTAAACCAGTCACCACCCTGCTTTTTAGTTTACTGGTTTTCCTACTGGGTGAAAAACAGCTGAAGACTTACCAGCTTTTTCCTTATAAACCCTAATTTTCTGAGGGGAATAATTAATGCAAAGCTGAAACTTAAGCAAAAGATCAACTCAGATAAAAATCCTGTTGGCCTCCATTTATATAAGAAAAAATTGCTCTTAGCTTTTTCATATTATAAATTTAATTCTTGCCATCTGAAGTATAAAATGTGGTATCCTCTATCTTTTAGAAGTGAGCTGTCTAACTCATTTGCAGAGTGCATTAGGTCATTTTAGTTATTAAGTAACAGTAGCCACACTGCTCCATATTTCTAATAGAACCCACACTCAACACTGCAGCATTATCTAGTTTTTCCACACGCTCTTAAAAAAAAAAGGAATGATGGTGGTCTTGAATTGCTTTCTGACCTATATACTGTTTTATTCAATACTGTTGACAGGCCTCCTTAAATCTATGAAGCACCATGTAAAATTATGGTTCCAGATAAACAGATCCAATCTTACAAAACTTAATTTGACTACAGACCTACCACAGCATGACTTTCAGGCTGTGTCTACACTACAAGATTTGCCACAAGAGCCTATGCAAATGATGTGCAGATTAGCATTTTCTCACTTCATTTGCATACTC